AGTTTGCGGTGTTCTTGAAAGCCTTATAACGTTCACGTACCCGTATTATAATAATATTTTAACATATTAAAATACGCGTGCGCCTGCCTAGTTTGAATATTGCGTAATCGCGATTCGCGATGTAAAACGGCGTCCCTATTTGCAGCCGACTCACAACTCGCGCTGCAGATAATAATATACGATATTCGCCGCAATTTATACACCACATATAATATACGATAAGTGGTATATAGTATGAAATATATATTATATACATAGGTACCCACTGCTGCATCGATCGTTCGTATAATATAATAATATCGTACGCGACGACGGTGTGTGTCACAACGCCTGGCTTTCTTCAATCTCTTCGAGATTTAAGTTTAATCGGGTTACCCATTCCGATGATTATTTCATGCCCTTGGCATCAATATAATACACATATGGTACCTAGGTATATGCGTAACCTGTATTATGTATAGGTACCCGTGACATTCGCATGCGTATCAAACTGCAGTATCCACGCGCGATAGATKTTCTCGTCGGACGTACCTATAAATAATATTATATTTTATTTATTATTGTAATAATATACGCGTACACGTCGTTTGTGCAGTGTGCGCGACGCTGCAACTGTTGTATACATATTATTTTATACGTCGTATTCAACACGTATTGGAAACCGAACGTTGAAAAATATTGTATCATAATATACCTTTGTATAGGTTATGWGATATTAAAAATATTTACAGAAACGTAAAACCACCTCCGGTAGGTATATATAGGCGCACTCGCGTATTTTTCACGAACATAATATATACTGCGATATCTATATCCGATATGATTGATATGGAATATATGTAAACTTATATTTTGGTACCTATAAATTATAATAATAATAAGACGCACATATATTTAGGTATTTTATTATAGGTATTCGCCTATATAGATAATATAATATCATTTACTTTTATGACGTATAATATCTGACGTGATGTGATATATAAATTTATTTCATATGCGTCGTATTTATAATTTATATTATCACAACTATATATACGATTATTATTATNTTTGAATATTGCGTAATCGCGATTCGCGATGTAAAACGGCGTCCCTATTTGCAGCCGACTCACAACTCGCGCTGCAGATAATAATATACGATATTCGCCGCAATTTATACACCACATATAATATACGATAAGTGGTATATAGTATGAAATATATATTATATACATAGGTACCCACTGCTGCATCGATCGTTCGTATAATATAATAATATCGTACGCGACGACGGTGTGTGTCACAACGCCTGGCTTTCTTCAATCTCTTCGAGATTTAAGTTTAATCGGGTTACCCATTCCGATGATTATTTCATGCCCTTGGCATCAATATAATACACATATGGTACCTAGGTATATGCGTAACCTGTATTATGTATAGGTACCCGTGACATTCGCATGCGTATCAAACTGCAGTATCCACGCGCGATAGATKTTCTCGTCGGACGTACCTATAAATAATATTATATTTTATTTATTATTGTAATAATATACGCGTACACGTCGTTTGTGCAGTGTGCGCGACGCTGCAACTGTTGTATACATATTATTTTATACGTCGTATTCAACACGTATTGGAAACCGAACGTTGAAAAATATTGTATCATAATATACCTTTGTATAGGTTATGWGATATTAAAAATATTTACAGAAACGTAAAACCACCTCCGGTAGGTATATATAGGCGCACTCGCGTATTTTTCRCGAACATAATATATACTGCGATATCTATATCCGATATGATTGATATGGAATATATGTAAACTTATATTTTGGTACCTATAAATTATAATAATAATAAGACKCACATATATTTAGGTATTTTATTATAGGTATTCGCCTATATAGATAATATAATATCATTTACTTTTATGACGTATAATATCTGACGTGATGTGATATATAAATTTATTTCATATGCGTCGTATTTATAATTTATATTATCACAACTATATATACGATTATTATTATTTTATTCCTATGGCGAGGTTAATTTTCACATATAGGTAGGTTAGGTTACCCTACACAAACAATAATATACAAGCAATATACGACCTGTATGACGTGTCGTGATATACATATTATATTCGTATGTAATGATATACATTTATTATATTAAAATGCAACAACATAATCGTATATTATTTTATTATTATATAGTGACTGTGCATTTGTGCATTTGCTATGGTAACGGTGCGTAAAGCATAAATCATATATATCCCATAATAGCGTAGTTAGATGCATTGTATTATTTTACTAAAGTATTTTTGTTTGTCAGTATTATACTATTATTATCTATATATATATATATTACATGTATATACTTTCGGTAGAACACGAAATTAAACTATTCGTCTGTCCTATTCTAAACCTGCCGTGCCTAATCATTTAATTAAGAACTATACAGTGAAACCTCTCCATAATAATAGTATATTATACCTAGAGGATACCATCATGYGAGAATTAAATTTAAAATTTATCCACAAACAGAGGTTTCAYTTGATTTAAAACTGTTGTTTGGTCTAATCAAATTTTTTATCAGTTTTTTTATTTTATTCCATCCCGAAATATGTCATTCAAAAATAATCCCTATTGAACAAAAAAAATAACTTATATATATATATATGAATAATTATGATGCCATTCTGACGTGTTCCTACCACTTGTCACTTAAGTCTTGAAGTCTATTAATCTCTACACGGTTTCAGATAATAAAACTTTAAATGCATCTCGAAAAAATGACATGCACTTGACGAATCAATTTTTTTAATTTTAAATGCGTTATAACTTATAGGTACTATTGTTTTAATATTGACAGTGGCATAAAATTTAATTTACTAAGACTAACAACACATTTACTTATATAATAATGTATATTGTCATCATTTTCAACATGTACATATTAAGTAAAGTATGTGTTTTTATTGAAGTACCAACCATCCTCTATATGTGACCATGTATATGGTTTGTATATAGTATTGATAATATATTAACAAATCGTTTTACTACATATTAGTTGTAAATTGGAATTTTCAGTATAAATTTAACATGTTTTAAAACAAATAACAGTATTAAATTATTAGAGCAAGTGAGTTATTGATATATATTAATGAGCCAGCCATATAACTCAACTATAATATTATTAATTTTYACTATTTCCATCGATCAAACTATTTCGATCGGTAATGGACGGTACTATATAGCGAGGTCGGGGAATGGCGGATATAGATATAGAAATGTGGTTTTTGAAGACTAACATATAATTTGAGAAAAAAAAAGTGCTTGAAGGACTATTACTATTCAGATGTTGTTTTGCTAACGAAAAGGAAATA